TTACAAACCCCAATTATGCATCAAAGATTCGAAGTTTTGGCCATGGACCTTTTTGGGCCTCTTCCTCAAGGCAGTGACGGCGAAAGATGGATCTTCCTGGTCGAAGCCACGAGATGGGTAGAACTGTTTACTCTCGTAGATGCTACTGCTGAAAAGTGTGCTAAGACCCTAGTCGATGAAGTCTTTTTACGGTACGGCTTGCCACGTCGGGTGATATCGGATAACGGGTCCCAATTTGTCTCAGCTGTAATGCAGAAAGTAATGCTCGCTTTAGGGATTACTCAAAATTTGACACCAGTATATCATCCCCAAGCAGACCCTGCTGAACGTAAGAACCGGGATATGAAATCTATGCTGGCAATTTTAGTTAATACTGATCATCAGGATTGGCCCAAGCACATCCCAGCGGTGCGATTTGCCCTTAATACCGCAACTAATCAGACCACAGGACATACTGCTGCCTATTTAGCTTTTGCCCGTGAGTTGCGTTCCCCTATAAATATAATAAATGACATCCGTACCGTTACAGAAAAGGAGAACTTTGTTCCCCAAATTACCCCATACTTACGGGATTTTGTGGAATCATTCCAAGAAATACGTTGGAGACAAGAGCACCAGCAAGATCTGAGGAAAGATGCAGCGGATCGGAGTCGTCGCGATGGACCATTGTATTGTGAAGGCGATCTGGTGCTTGTCGCGAATAATGCACTTAGCCAAGCTTCCAAAGGTTTAACTAAAAAGTTCTTTCCACGTCGCATAGGTCCTTTTAAAATAAAAAGGGTTATGTCTGCCTCAACTTATGAAGTGGAGGATAATGAGGGTAACTTAAAAGGGAAGTACCATACAAAGCTCCTCACACCGTATATAGGTGATTCTGATTTAACAACTATGACTAAGAAAGGTAGGCCGCGGCTTAGGTCCAAGTCACCCCCGGGGCGGGTTGGTGACTTGGAGGGGGAGGATGAAGCACCACGTTCCGTAATGTCGAGGTCCGGCCGATCTATTCGTGTACCGCGCCGATATACTTAACTTATCTATGAAAACGTCTTTGATAGACAGCTGTCTTAATATTAGAAAAATAATCTTTTTGCCGTAAAAATGATTGTTAGAGAATATGTTGATTTTGTTAAGAAAGCGCTGTTTGTTTGTGAATTATAAAACATTAAAGTGATTAAGAAGAATAGCGTGTTTTTTGTGTCATCAACGACTTTACGACATTCACGTTATATGATAGCACTACATTTTGTTCTGTGTGATTTTAAGTTTTCGACATCTTTGAATTGATTTTTACATAGTACACTAAGGTGATCGACAAGTAATAATGAAGTATGAGCGCTTATAAAAAGGGCCAATGATCCTTCAAAGGAATTTGCCCAATATCAATTTTCGGTTATGGAGAAAAAACTTAATTTTGATTGTCCCACCGAAAATGGTTGCGCCGCTCAGTGTTTTTTTCTTTTTTTATATTTTAAAAATCTATTTTTTTAGAATTAACCTCGCATTTGAAGTAGGTACAAAACGCTTTGGTTGGGTCTGTTATTACTGCTTGAAGCCAACCTTGAAATTCTGGTTTAGGTAGCCATTCTTGCCTGAACTTCTGTCTTACTTTGCGCCATCTTACGAAATAAAACCTAACAAATGTCCCGAACTTAACACTGCGTAGGTAATAATAATACTACTTTTATAGCAGCCGAAACGTTAAGAAAATTATCGGGAAATACCCAACCATAAACAACGGCGCTATCATAGAATAACTATAGACCGACCATAAACAATGTAGGTACATTTTGACTACGGAAACAAGTATTTTGAGCTAAAAATAATACAAAAGGATTTATTCATAGTGCGAATAGAAAAAAAACTAAAATTGTAGAAAAGTAGAGCTAAAGAGCTAGACCTACTTTTTTAAAGCTAACCAAGCTCATTTAGAGATAAATCTAGCTCTAAAAACTCCGGGTTGGCAACACTAGGTAAACATATACCTGTGTTAAGGTGGCCATACACACTACGAGAAATTGTTACGATTAGACTGTACCAAGGACTGTACAGTTCGAACGGTACCGATAAATCGTAGCGTGTATGTTATAAAACTGCAGTTTCCTACGATTTTTTAAGACTGTGCAGTCTAACGGAGCAATACGAAAATGTCATTTGATTAATCGGAATGGGATGAACTGTGCCGATTGATCGTATCGTGTATGCACTCCTTCAATTTTCGTGTTCAGTGCAGTTCGGGTAGACGAGCGGACGCGTCTCATATAGCTGTGGGCGTTTAAACGATAAGCGCTTAATTAAGCGTGCTTAAAATATTAAGCTTGTAAGCACGCTTTTAAGTATAAGCGTTATAAGCTTTTCACTTAAAAAGTGTGAGTGGGTACGCGGAATTCCTAGGAACTAAATATTTCACAGCATCACAGCCATAGAACGCGCGACTATAGCGCCGCGTCGGCGTGCCATCTTTCGTGAGCCGGTTAATACAGCATGCGAATTATTATAATGCGACGTAAAAAAAATGCACTTTTTTAAAATTTGGTCGGATAACCAACGCTTTTTTCGTTAAAAGCGTTTAAATTAAACGAAGTCGAAAAGGCTTTTCACTGTGACGGGGTAAGCGCGCGTGTTTGTTGTACGGTGCGTTTGCATGCTTGCTTGTGTTAATGCGTTTCGTGTATTGATTTAATGTGCATATAAAATATTTAAGTTTGTAAACTTTTTAATAAAAATTTCATTAATAAGAACATAAAACACAATAAAACACTTAAACACATTAAAAACGACAATAAACTTTTCACACTTTTTTAAACGATATAAACAAAAATACAACACAACGTCGCTTTTTACTCATGCTTTTGAACGTTTAAGCCAATAAGCGTTTAAACGAAAAAGCTTTTTTACAAGCGCGCTTATTTTAAAAAGTACAACGTTTAAACGCTTTTAAGAAATAAGCCGTTTTTTCCATCTCTAGTCTCATAGCGTCTCAAACTAAAACCAACCAAAAAATTTATACGAATACATAAAGAAAAAAGATAATAAAGATGTTTCGTGTAATTGTTTATCCATGCATTACAATATTCGAATAATATAAAAGTATGCTACACAATGTATTTAATAAAATAATGTTACGTTATATTTCACGCTACCCAACAAAAGGGTAAAACTGTAACGTATAATTATGGCAGCATTTCATTCAGGTATTGTTTACAAAGCGACAACCTCAAATTTGATTTTGATTAATTGAAAATATCAGTTTATAACTTTACTTACGTATGAAATATGATTCCATCCTGTTTTTTATTCTTGGAAGATTGGTTTCTACACGGTTTCACTACACAATTCGGCATTTTCTCTAATAAATATTGTTATTTATTATTACGTCACACTCCGCGCGCCGGGATTGCTCGACTGGGAAGCCAAGGCGTAGTTTCGTTGCATGTGTGTGCGTGTAACTGTGTATGTACACGGCGAGGCATAGTTTTATCGGCTTCACTTTTTTGTTCGGCAGACTCCGTCTTTACTTTTTATTTGGTCTGAGTATACACCCAAAACAAAGCTTGTAAAACATATGAAGATGAATGAATTATTGAAGTATGTTAGTGTAAGTAAATGCTACGGACATTCATATTTTAGATTTATAAAACATAGCAGTGAATATAAATATAAATAAATATTAAAAAATATTCCATTAAGACGATTTTAAAATTGTGCCGCATAGTGGCAAAGATGACACCGAACTGCCAAAATATTTCAAATTATGCACTTTTTTAATGCAAGAAAAAACATTATCGGCAGCGGCCGCCTTAAACATATAAAAACAAAGCGCTTGCAGCGCCTCTACCGGTAATAAATGTAACTACTTTACAATATGATCAAATACTTTTTGCCATTTCATGAAGTAGCCACGCGTTTAGTTGGCCATATCGTGAAACGATTTCTCATCATTGATCAGCCCAAACCACATGATGTGGCCAATAGATAGTGAAACATTTCATGAAATGCGACCATTTCATGAAATTCCCGAGCATTTCATGAAGTGAGCAAATCGACGATATGGCCACGACATAATACACAGTGATTCAATAAATTCGTCAGGATTTAAAGTAGATGGCGACATGTAAATTCCAAGAATTATATAGGTAATCTAGTACTTCTATTTATAAGCACGATGCATGTCTTAGTTCAACCTCTTGTACTTTATGTTGATGGCCACTTTTACTGTATATTAGAACTCCATAGTTAGAGTTGATTTTTATCACAGGAGAATTTTCGTCTCTTCTTACGTAAATATTGCCAAACGTATTCCAGCAGAATTTCTAGTTACTTGTTTTTGTTAAATCCCTTGCCTAAAAATGCAGCCGAGTGCCTTTTGCGGTCAGTTGTTCCGTCACAAAAACAAGAGTATCGCCATCAGTGAGTATACCAAGATTTTTGGCACAGAGCTTAGGTGTAAACTTGATGTTGCAGGCTTTACACATTTTAAGCATATTTATTTTATTGTTAGTTGAGGTCATTTCTACGATTATTGGTGGTTTTTGAACGCCTTCCTTGGCGCGGGCCCGGAATATATCACTTATATCTTTTTTATCTATATTCAATGAAACATTGCTTGCCAGTGTTACAACCATATCCATAAGATCGTCCTTTGTTTCATTGTTTCGTTTGGGCACGTTCTTTATGACAAAATTGTTTTTTCGTGTAATCCGTTGTATATCTTCTAATGTATCCTCAAGAATTGTTATACACTTCCTATCTTCTATAACCTGGTCATCCAAATAAGATATTTTCTTTTTAAACTCTTCATTCTGCGCACTTAAAAATTCTGTATATCATTATTTGTCTTTTTAATATCTATAAATGTTGTATGGATCTTTTTAATTTCTTCCGTTTGTTCCAAAATTATTGAGGCAATCATATTTTTCATCTCTTCTCTAAAAGCACCTCCTTTGTTAAGATAGGTACATATAGGCGAGCCCAAGCGGGCATTTTTGTATTGACTCGAGCGCGGCAGAATAACATATGGGGGAAAACCTTACACCTTGTGAAATATTCCCACCATACGTGAGCCCTCTATGTATTACCGATATTTTTTTTTGTGTCTGGAAAATACATGACTGTTACATACCGGGAAACTTGCATGCACTGGCTCCGTGGGCTCCTCCCTGCCATTTCGATTTCGTCCGTTTTCGAAACGGCGGGAAAAACGAAAATTAAGAGAGAAGAATTTTAATTCTTCTTTCGAATTTGTTTTCGAAAAAGAAAACATATTTCGGCTTTCGAAACCGGTTGCTATAGGTAAACCGTTTAACTGAGTCCTCGTCTTTGGGCAGGCGTAACGTTCCTTGGGCATCTTAATAATTGAACTTTATAAGGGAACCTACTCATAGTATTTAAAGTTTTGACGTTGATTTATTAAACATCTTTTCGTGTGTTTTTAAAATTATTGCTCCACCAAAAACATTTTTTTACTAAAGAAAGTGGAAACTTCGTCGACGTTAACTGGGCCGATAGATGTGTCTGGGAGTATATTTACATAATGTAGGTACATATTTCAAAATTTCACGTGTGTATAATAAAAAAATATAAGTTATTACTTTAATCCATGATTTTTATTAATTACAAATACTTAAAATGACATTTTCCTTTATTATTTAGTTTTTAAAACAATAGTTTTATTGATCCAAAACTACAGATGTAAATTTATAACAATATCCATTCATATTTCACAAAGCTATTCTGTTTTAAACATGTAACGCTATTTGGGATAGTATGAATTTTATAACTTAACAAAAATTACATACATTTACATTAATGTACATACAACAAATTATTCAACTACTTATCTAACGTCGTATTCTTCTTTTAAAGACGTTTAACGCGAAGTCATTATGAAATTTTTGCAACATAGTAGCGTTCTATGAATCAGAATTTCAATCTCCATTTTGTTTACCTGTAAACAATGTTTTTTTCTGTTAAATCTAAAATAAATAGTAGAGAAGTACAGACTATAATAATATGGTGAAGCAAGATGTGAAATATACGAATACTAAACCTTTACTCGCTCTAATATTAATATACTTGGTTCTTTTACTCCACGATTTTTGAACCAGAATATATTATATACCAGATTACTTTTGTCATTTTGTCAACCATTGTCATTGGCAAAATTCTATCAATAGATTAACATAAAATCGGCAAGTTGCTAGTATGTATTTTTTTTTCAGTCATTACTAAGAATAATGTGTGGATATTTAAGCAACAGTTACTTAAATATCCACAGATCACGGCTGTTAATGAAGTCTAAAATAGCGACATTTATATCAGACATCCGACAAAATATGTATTGTTCAATTTATAATTGTTTAAAAAAATCTTTTCATTATTTAAACATTACATATAATATTATCAACATTCTGCATTCTCATACAAATCTGTCTATATAGGTGATTCCCGATATTATTTACCTATTTTCATCATGAGTAGGTTTTTGTTTTTTAACACATTTTATCATTATAAGGTGGGAAAAATTATGAAAAAAATAAAATAAATGTCAAACTCGCTATTTTACACCCACCTAAGTAGGAAAAGTGGTTAAAGAATCATACTTTAGTCACTAGGGCTTAATTGATTATAGGCCGATAACAGCTTGCATGTCGGCGACGGCGCGGTCGGTTTCCTTCTCCTCGGAGTCTGACTGTTGCTCTTGCTCTTCCACCACTTGCATCTGAGCCTCTTGTTCACCGTCTGCAATATAAATAAAAAATAATAAATAAATATTTCCAACACTCACACCAATTAGCCTAGCCCCATAGTAAGCATTGTAAGGCTTGTGTTATGGGATGCTGATGATGCAGAATACATATACTGACCATATATAAGTATATTTACATAGAAATACATATTCAACATCCATGACTGGAGTATAAGTATAAATGCTCGTATTCATCACACAAACATTTGCCCCCACCGGGATTCGAACCTGGGACCTCTCGAGTCGGCGACACGATGAAACCCGGCGTACGAACCACTCGACCACGGAGATCGTCAACAGAAACATATCAATCAATCAATCAAAATCATTTATTCAGTTTCGGCTGTTACAAGCACATATGAATGTCTAGAAGCTACGCCATCGGTTCGTAAATCTACGGCGGGAGACCTTGTACTGGGAAGGACCGGCAAGAAACTCAGCAAGGGCTGTTTTATTCTCCCTGTTTTATCATTTACAGAGTCGTCAAGTTGAAAAATGACTTCAGAGATGATTCATGAAGTCACCCTGTCACCCTTCATTACATAATGTGAAATCAATTGTTCACCTGCATTTTGATTGCTGTGTCACACAGTATAAATACAAACAGAGTTATTTATAATAGGTGTAATTAAACATTTACATCTTAAATATCAAAGTAGTTAGGGCAGACTCATCTCCGCTGGCAGCACCCGTTCACGAGCATGACGCATGAACCAGCCATCGCTTCGCTCAACCATATTTTAGGGAACGTAACGACCCGCCTCACACGACACCACCGAAGAGACTTAAGAGAGCATGACTACCCATAACCACCTATATCAACCACAACATATTTACTTAAACTTAAAGTCATTTATCTGTAGGACAATCTGCAAACAATTACAAAGCAAAAACAATGGAGAAATCATGACCACGCCGTTTTGTCATTCAAATCTTCTTAAATAGTCTGATATTCTTCCTTACGTAATCAGCTTTAAATACAGCTTTTCAATAGAAGTATCATCAACACATGATTCATAATATATATCATATAGAAATACCCGTTGGAATGGTTGGAACAGTTCAAACCCAAGCATTTTTGTCTGTAATATAATCAGACACTTTATAATAAGCATTCTTAATAAGAGTTTTTTTAATAGTCGATTTAAATTTAGTCAGGCTCAACTCTTAAATATTGCTTGGGACTTTATTGTAAAAGCGAACACAGAGGCCTCTTAACGAATTATTAATTTTGTGGAGCCTAGTAGCAGGTAAAGTTAACTTATTTTTACTTCTAGTATTAAGTGTATGTATTTCACTATTTTTAGTAAATAAACTAATATTTTTTTGACATATACTAAGTTTTCATATATGTATTGTGATGCAACCGTCATTATGCCTATTTCTTTAAACTTATTTCTTAAGGAGTCCTTAACTTTAAGATTATAAATTGATCGAATAGCCCGCTTCTGCAACACAAATATTGTTTGAATGTCGGCGGCATTTCCCCACAGTAAAATACCGTAAGACATTACACTATGAAAATAACTAAAATAGACTAATCTGGCAGTTTCTATATCCGTTAACTGACGTATTTTCATTACAGCATATGCTGCAGAGCTAAGTCTCTTCGACAATTTATCAATATGTGGGACCCATTGCAACTTTGAATCTAGTGTGATTCCTAAGAACACTGTGGTATCTACAAGGCTCACATTTCGATCCTTTATATTTACATTCGTTTTTACCTTTTTAACATTAGGTAAAACAAATTTCAAACACTTAGTTTTCCCTTCATTTAGCAGTAAATTATTAACGTTAAACCAGTGGACTACCTTAGAAATAGACTTGTTCACGTCGTCAATTTGCGACTGCCTACGTTTAATTTTAAACAAAAGTGAAGTGTCATCCGCAAACAATACTATTTCATGGTTATCCTTTACAAAATAAGGCAAATCATTGATATAAATTAAAAATAAGAAAGGACCAAGGATTGAGCCCTGCGGAACTCCCATCTTAACCGACGAACCAGGAGATTTTTCTCCATTGATGTCAACCCTTTGAACCCTATCACTCAAATACGATACAATAAGATCCAGAGTGGTATCTCTAAATCCATAGTGCTGTAGTTTCCTGATCAATGTTTCATGAAAAACGCAGTCGAATGCCTTTGATAAGTCGCAAAACACACCAAGTGCATCATGCGAGTTCTCCCAGGTATCAAAAATTTGCTGTACAAGTTCAACACCAGCATCGGTTGTTGAGCGACCCCTTGTGAAACCAAATTGTTTACTATGCAAAAAGTTATTACTATAAAAATATGATTGCATTTGATCTAGCATAATCTTTTCAAAAATCTTACTAAAGATGGGTAGCACGGATATGGGTCTAAAATTTGTGGGGGTCAGATGTGCTACCCGATTTATGCAATGGAGTTATTTTACTATGTTTCATTAGATCAGGAAAAACACCACAGTCAACACATTGATTAAAAATGCTAGCCAGAATAGGAGCTATTGTCTCAATTACTGATCTAGAAACATCCACGGAGTTACCCCACAGATCCGCGGTTTTCTTTTTATTCAATTGGTTAAAATATTTGATTATGTCGCGACACGACACTTTTTTTTATTCCAGTAAAAACAAGGTACATGGTAGCAATTCCGTAACCAATATAAATTACTATAAGAAAGAAAGAATTTTATAAACCTTAAATAACATCATGAAACAAAAGCAATAAAAAAAGGCCAACTAAATATTTCTCTGCCTCAGCATAGTGCCACAACGACGATAGGGCCGCTGCGGCGCTGATATTATGAAAAATATTGTAACTAAGACATTAATAATCTACTTTAGATATAAAAAATAAACCCTATTTATCTTAGTCACGTTATTGCTTAAGAACAGCAGAACACCAATTTCATACTTTTTTCTGTATCTAATACTTATATTTAGATAATTTGCAACTCATCCCGTTCATTGAGGAACCTTTAACTAAGACTAGGTATTTTTATTATATTTTCAGGCAGAACCAAGTCTGTCGGGTCCTCTAGTAATGATATAAGTTGATAAGTAACTATTGAGCTGAAGCTTACCTTAAATATTAAAGTGTACTGCAGCTTATTCAAAATACACCTTTGCCAGTGCAAAGTGAAATTTCACCTTCAGAAGCAGCCGGCGTGAGTTGCAGCCTGCCGCTCACTTTCATCTACACATTTTACCTTCAGAAGCAGCCTGCGTGCTACGTGAGTTGCACACGAAACGTCCCGTCCACAAACTGGCCGGAGAGGCCAATCACGTTAATCTGCACATTTCACCTTCAGAAGCGGCCTGCGTGAATTGCAGCATCCTGTCTACAATCTGGCCGGAGAGGACCCCGGAGAGGCTGATCACGTTCATCTGCACATTTTACATTCAGAAGCGGCATGTGTGAGTGGCAGCGTGCCGTCCACAATCTGCCTGGAGAGAACCCTGGATAGGCTGATCACATTCATCTGCACATTTCACCTTCAGAAGCGGCATGTGTGAGTGGCAGCGTGCCGTCCACAATCTGCATGGAGAAGACCCCGGGGAGACCGATCACGTTCATTTGCACATTTAACCTTCAGAAGCGGCATGTATGAGTGGCAGCGTGCCGTCCACTATCTGCCTGGAGAAGACCCCGGAGAGGCCGATCACGTTCATCTGCACATTTCACCTTCTGAAGCTGCATGTGGGAGTGGCAGCGTGCCGTTCATAAACTGGCCGGAGAGGCCCGGAGAGGCCGATCACGTTCATCGGCATATTTCACCTTCAGAAGCGGCCTGCGTGAATTGCAGCATCTTGTCTACAATCTGGCCGGAGAGGACCCCGGAGAGGCCAAGTTCATCTGCACATTTTACATTCAGAAGCGGCATGTATGAGTGGCAGCGTGCCGTCCACAATCTGCCTGGAGAAGACCCCGGATAGGCTGAACATGTTCATCTGCACATTTTACCTTCAGAAGCGGCCTGTGTGAGTTGTAGCGTGCCGTCCACAATCTGGCCGGAGAGGACCCCGGATAGACCGATCACGTTCATCTGCTGGCGCATCTTCTTCGCCTCGGCCTCTAATTGCTGCTGGATGTAAAGGTCCTTGTGGTGCACCTTGTTGTGGTACTTGAGGTGGTGGGCTTTAGTGAACTTCTTGTTGCAGGGACCGCACCTGTCATCATACCATTATACATCTTAATATCTTATATACAGGTGTTTTTTTTTGGTTGTCAAATATTTTTTCGTAGTTTGCGAGTTAGATTTTGTCATTTTTTACGATTCAACTATGAGACAACTTGGAAAAACTATAACTGTTTTTTGGGGCGACTTTTCTTCGTTTTTTTTTTAACAGAATGCCTCAAGTAAAACAGAATGGATTTACGATTAAAAAAAAATAGATGTTCCATAAGTCTGACTAATTTTAAAAACTGCTCGAGTTCATAAACTTTCATAAAAATACAAAAAAAAAATTATACTAAATTAGGCATTATTTTCTGAAAACTGTCTTTAAAGGTGTTGTTGTATCGGAAATCGTGTAATTTTAATATTTTATAATTTCGTAGTATCTTTGCATATTTTGTCAATCTTATGTTTTATTATTCTTTTTAGTTTAAGTGGAGCTCATAAGAAAAAATAAAAAAATATGACAACTGAAATGAAATGTCATTTATTCAGTCTTAGGCTGTTACAAGCACTTGTGAAGATCAATAAGCTACGCCATCGCTTCGCAAAACTACGGCGGGAGAACTAATCACTCAAAACTCCTGTTATCCTTCTCCTCAGGTATTTTTATTCTACGCTTAAATAAGGAAGTGACTACTCGTATGTCGAGGTCTCTCGATTGAGCTTCATATTAAGGTTGTTTGTGAGTGATATCATGCACCGAGATTACGAATTTTCATCGCAAGATTATGCGAAAATGCATTATTTCTACGGGTACGCACATGGAAATAATGCAGCGGAATGGAATATTATATGGAATGATTCCATATTTTCCTTTTTTCACCTTTATCGTTTTTTTCCAAGTATGAGATGTTATTTGTAACCTTATTCCTTTGTGAGATAGTTGTTAGTAGGTCTACTTAAACTGTTTTAAAACTTTTATCTTTGTGAATTGGAAATCGAATGTAGCTTATTACTTTTGGGCGGTAGGAAGTTCCAAATCAGCTAGTTATATTAATAATCCTTTAGAATTTATTTAAAAAAATATGGTGTTTTTTTACTATTTCAGGAAAATAAAAATTTACGGAGATGGCTCTCCATTATAGCATAAATTAATTAAGATGCCGAATTGGTAAATGAAAACAGGTAGTCGGCTCTGACAAAGCGCAGCCTTTCTTACGCGTTGTTTAAATGAATAGCGGTAAGTTTAGGTTATTATTTTCGAAGATGGCAGGAGCCATCTTTCTGGCTACTTTCTATTTTGTTTGATCTAAGAGTAGCGACAGCACACACAGCGTAGCATAGCTTGTTGATCATAATCAATAGAAGCACTGCCAAGTTACTCAATAAACCTATTCACGTTCAACATTCATTCACCATCCTAGTATTGTTCTACGAGTAACTATTGCAAAATGAAAAATATACTTACGAATATTTCTTTTCTCCTGTATGCGTAAGCATATGATTTGCAAGCACGTATGAGTACGTGAATGACTTTCCGCACACAGAACATTGGTAAGGACGTAGTCCCATGTGCAACCTGAGAAAAATATTTACAAATTAATAAATTTTATAGGCAACTGACAAACATAATGCCAGTTATAAGACAAAACACAAATTTTCAGCCATCAACAACATTTCAGCTTTACAAATGAGAAGATTTGTTTTTTATACAAGGCGCAGCATATAGCCCCGCATCACCTGATGTTAAGTGTAGGTGGAGTCCAGTCACGAAGATAGATGATGCGGCAGAAAGTGTGCCACTCGAACCATCCTCACCTTGCCGGCCTGAACCCAATCCTATACCCCGCGGAGCCCTGAGGGCCATTCGCCTAACGGGATTGCTTTGGAAAACGCTATCGCTTACGATTTCATTTTGTTATTTCTGACCGCCGAAGGTTTTCAAATACCTCACGCTCATTTTCTTTAATATTGTTATTACCAATGCAAAAGAAAAAAAAAGAGCGCGAGGCATTTGAAAACCTCAGGTGGCTAGAAATAACAAAATGAAATCGTAAGCGATAGTTTTTCAAAGCAATCCCGTTTGCCGAATGGCCCCCTGGAACCTCTCTTAGCAGCAGAAACACAACACCACCAAAAGTTACCGTTTATAACTGTAGCCTTCTGTAAGGTGGAGGATACTTCCCTAGACGGGCGCTTCAATTTAAGCGGGAAATCCGCTGTCCCATTCCTCTCTTTATATTAATAGTCACTTTCTTGTCTATCGTTCTGTGTGGAATCTTGCAACTCAAATTTGATTTACCTGTTTCTGGTTGAGCTCAAATATAGCATCAATATGTAAATCAGATGATAACGCAATATTAGCGATAGTTTTTCAAAGCAATCCCGTTAGGCGAATGGCCCCCTGGAACCTCTCTTAGCAGCAGAAACACAACACCACAAAAAGTTACCGTTTATAACTATAGCCTTCTGTAAGGTGGAGGATACTTCCCTAGACAGGCGCTTCAATTTAAGCGGGAAATCCGCTGTCCCTTTCCTCCCTTTATATTAATAGTCACTTTCTTGTCTATCGTTCTGTGTGGAATCTTGCAACTCAAATTTGATTTACCTGTTTCTGGTTGAGCTCAAATATAGCATCAATATGTAAATCAGATGATAACGCAATATTATAATGTAAATCAATATTACAACGCAATATAAACATTTACGGTTTCGAGGTGTCGCCTACTCGAGAGGTCCGGGTTCGAATCCCGGTGGGGGCAAATGTTTGTGTGATAAATACGAGCATTTGTACTACGGTCATGGATGTTTAATACATATTTCTATATAAATATACTCATATATGTATCAGTATATGTATTCTATCCGTTACCCTAGTATCCCATATCACAAACCTGCAGTGCTTACTTTGGGGCTAGGCTAAATGGTCTGTGTTAGAAATAATAGGTTGGGAAAAAGTCTTTTGCGTGTATGATCTTGTAATAAAATCTCTTTGGCTTATAATAAGTAAATGGTAAAAAAGCTGGGTATACAAAAAAATCTTTATATTTGGGTGCCTCACGAGCTCCCTGAAAGAAACCTAAGGAACTGTGCTCATTTGTGATTCTTTATTACGACGTAATGAAACCGAACCATTTTTGAAGAAGCTGGTGATGAAGTGGTTCACGTACGACAAGAACGTGCGAATAGGTCGTAGTCAAAGACCGGTCAGACTTCACAGACTGGCGAAACCTGGGTTAACTCGCAACAAGGTGATGCTGTGTGTATGGTAGGATTGTAGGGGCATTATTCATTATTAGCTGTTACCGCCAGGCAGGACCATTGATTCTGACCAACTCTACTACCAATAACTGATGAGCTTAAAGCAAGAAGTTGAGAGAAAGTGGCCGGAATTAATCAACAGAAGAGGTGTAGTTTTTCATCATAATAAAGCTAGACATCACATATCTTTAGCCACTCTACAAAAATTAAGAGTACTGTCCCAGGTGCATCAACACCGGGTCGCGGCGAGAGAGCGGGGCGAGCGACCCGTTCTAGAGGAGATAGAACGGGTCCGCACAGAGGCGCAGAGGGAGGCTCTGCGCCGATGGATGGAGGCACTCGCCAACCCAGCCGCTGGCCACCGAACGATCGAGGCGATTCGTCCGGTGTTGGAGGAGTGGATAGGGCGCCAGCGGGGCACCCTCACCTACAGCCTGGCGCAGGTGCTGACCGGACATGGGTGCTTCGGTCACTACCTGCACCGAGTCGCCCGTCGGGAGGAGACGCCGCGGTGTCATCATTGCGCCTCTCGCGATGACACGGCCGAGCACACGTTGATCGTGTGCCCGGCCTGGCGAGATGAGAGCCGCGATCTGATCGCGGCGCCGGCGTAGGAGGCCTCACGCTGCCAAGTATGGTAAGAGCCATGCTTGGTAGCGAGAGAGCCTGGAGGGTTGCCGCCTCCTTCTGCGAATCGGTGATGACGCAGAAGGAGGCAGCGGAGAGGGAGCGGGAGGAGGACGCTCTAGCCGCCCCTCTCCGGCGTAGACGGGTGGGCCGAAGAAGGCAGGCAGCGGTGACTGCCGGTCTTCGACGGCCCTAAGGTGGTCTGGGCGCGGCCTGACCAGCCGCGCGTCCTAGGTGCCGCTCCGGCATAGGCCACCACGTCTGGGGACTGCCTAGTACCCCTGAGGCGCGTCGCCCGGTCCACTCGTTGGGTCGGGCCTGCCCGGGGGCGTGCTCGGAGATGTGGCGCACGCAGGTGCGTCGGCCCCGAGACGCCCCCATATGGGCGTAGGAGGGTACCGGGGGGTTTTAGTGGAGTAGGATCAGTGTGGCCTTCCGCACTGGTCCTGCTTGAGTAGGGTCGGCACTGTTTCCCGTGCCGGCGAGTCCCACACACGCCGTGCGCCTAGTCAACGTCACAGTATGGTGCGTAACTGCATTTCCCCTCGTCACAAAAAACAAAAAAAAAGGTAGTGTCATGTTAACATCACGAGAGGACTGCCAAAACCACTTTTCGCGGTTTTAAGATCAGAAGCCCAAAATTTCTATAGCAATGGGATCATGTCCCGACCTACAGGATGGAAAAAAATATCGAACAAAATGGCACCTACATCCTTTAGCTATTTTTTTTAAAATATTTAGAATTTTCATATAACATGCGAAGAAACCTTTTCCCCCAACCTAATATTTATAATAATTATTATATCATGGTGCTGATCTGACGGAGCCGAGAGATGACCATGGGACTTCTAATAAAACTATGCAATCTCATCGAGTTTAGGCTCATTTGTATCGAATTTTGAAGGTCATCATCATCAGCCTATTAATGTCCCCACTGCTGGAGCACAGGCCTTTCCTATGGATGGAATAAGGAGGTTGGGCCATGACCCACCACGCGGGATTAATGCGGATTGGTGGGTGCTAACGACTGCAGATGCAGCCGGGATCAACAGCTTAACGTGGCACCCAGAGCACGGAGGAGCTCAAGATAGTAAATTTTTGGTTACCCATTAAATGACCAACCACTGCGAAAGTTGCTATACTTCACGATCGCAGCCGAAAGAGCTAACCACTTGCGCCATCGACCACCTCAATGTATCAGGTCTGAATTGATATTCAGAGTTCTTTTAAACTGTAGTTTCTTGAAAAGATTATTTTTTATCTACATATTTTTATTTAAGTTTTCACCTACCTTTCGTGCTTTTGCCTAGTGCCGTAGTCACCGTACCGTCTTTCGCATATCCTGCATTTGTATGGTTTCTCGCCGGTGTGGCGCAACATGTGCCGCTTCAACCCTTCTTGTAGTACGGACGAGAACCCGCACACGCTGGGGCAAGCAAGTCCAACATACTTAACTTCTAGTCCTATTCGTTTCATCACTTTAGTAACAATAATGAGACTGCGTTGCCAGCATTTCACTTGGCACAGTTTTGATGTGGTATATCTGTATTCTTTATAAATATAATAATTGATATTAGAATGCAGTCTCATATTGTAACAGGGTGAGTTTTTTATTTAAATTTCATATTCTAATACTTTTTATAAGCCGCAAGCACTGTCACAATAAACCCTTAGCTGAACTTCATACCTTTTGGTCAGTCGCCACAATAACAGCAAACGCCTCACTCCACCTAACTGGAAGCAATGTTCTCAAACAATCAAAAGATGATATGTAAACGAAAGTAACTTTTTTTTAAATAATACCACTCAAGTAAAAGACAACGCTTCGTGACTTATTTGGTTTCAGAAATTCAAAGAAAAGTCTATAAGCTTAAATCTGTACTAATATTATAAAGTGGAAATATTTGTATTTTTGTAATAAATGTTCTCAAAAACTATTAAACCAATTTTGAAGTTATTTCCACAATATAAAAGCCTGGAAGCCAAACTGACATAGGCTATAATTTATAGCGTTTAAATTAAAACCCCGTGCAAAGCCGGGTGCATCAAATAAAATAAGCCAAGTCTAAATTTTTATAATCCATTCTTCAGATTCTATGTTGCTCAAGTTAAGGTTCAAATTCAATTAACATCGTATAGATATCATCTCCAGCTCGTTTGAATATCAAGAGGACACGTTTACTCGCCTCTCGTGTTTCTGTCGACTGCCGAAGTCACCGAATCTTCGATCACAAATACGACACTTGTAAGGCCGCTGTCCGGTGTGACGCATCATGTGGCGACGCAGTTCCATATTGAGAACGCACGCGTACCCACAAACACTATACAAAAAATATATATAAATATTTATATGTTTAAATTAACGTACTTTTGCGTCAGACTACTAATAATATCTACCTTGAAATATAGTCACAATATCGGTAGGCCTATTGATTGTATTGAAACTATCGACAACACAAAAAATCGATATCTCTGATAACTATTGAATGTCTTGGGGAAACATAGATAGTGTAGTACTATGGATACTATTTAGAATGATTTCTATCAATATTAGTTTTTTTTTTTGCTGTCTATAAATTCAATTAATTTATTGATATCGTGAGATTTACCAAGGTCAACTATTGATAGTCCTTCAATACTAACATAACTAACTACGTTGTTCAAAATTTACAACCAAGGGATTAATTGTCTGTGGGATAAAAGTCAATTTCGAATAATCGCAAGTATAATGAGATTAGGGAAGTTTAATTTCTTGATCATGTGGGTGCGGTTGCGTTTTTTTATTTGCAATATAATAGCACACAATTTAACAATCCATCTATTGTAACAGTGATTGCGACTTGCGACATGGGCGCAGGACTTGATATGTTGGTCTCATTTACTTTATATGAAACATATCATACAATTTTTAAAGTAAAAATTGCCGTTGTAAATAGGTCACCCACATCTATTAAGCGCAATGGAAGGAATAGGATAACGTCAATCATTATACATCACTGACGCTACTAAAAGTGCATACTAATGCTAGAACTTTACATGGCTATTTGCTTTTGGAAATTTTACAGCAATCTCTTCTTTTCATAGTTTTGCCCTTATAGACAACGAAAAGGATAATAACTGTTGTTAAATATACAAATAGTAAATACGAATATCCATGTAAAGTGCTAGCATAAAACTTAGATTAAAATAAAAAGGGAAGATACGGTACGCTCATACTACCATCAAATAAAATATGCTCCGACTCAACTACATAAGCAACTGTCACACACGCACACTTCTATAAGTAAATAAATTTTCAATCCGCGAGTGCCGTATTTTCCCTTTTTATTTTTATCTAAGGCATAAAATAATATTTCCACTGTAATGTTAGTTACATCATCATCAGCCTATTAGCGTCCCCACTGCTGGGGCACAGGCCTTCCCTATTGAAATATGGGGATTGGGCCGTGAACCACCACATGAGCCCATTGCGCATTGGTGAGTGCTAGACTGCAGATGCAGCCGGGACCAACGGCTTAACATGCCTTTCGAAGCACGGAGGAGCTCGAGATAATAAGTTTTTGGTCACCCATCCAATGACCGACCATTACGAAAATTGTGTAACTTCCAATGATGATCGCAGGTCAATCGCGCTAACCACCTGCGCCACCGTACTCCTCGTTAGTTACATGGTAAAAACTAATTCGAAATTAGTGTCTAAAACTTTTATACTTTTTATTGAAAATTCTGATAAGATTATTCTTTTTATAATTGTAAAACCTTTTTAGTAAAATGTCAGGACTCTTGTTGGTAATAAAAAAACTTAAATATCAACGTAAAATCACTAAGTACTGCGTGTTTTACCAAGTTTGAATTCTTATTCAATTTGTATGACTTATTCTCATGTTCATTATTATACTGATAAAATTCAATCTTTCATGGTAAAAAGCATAATTATTGTCATTATAACCAATTAAACCAATATATAGTTTGCTATTTTATACTATCTAGCAGACATATTCGCATTAGTAGTGACATGAGATAGTGGGGCAGAACGTCTTCGCAGACTTCTTATATTTGTGTTTTTTGTTTTACGCGAATTTTCAAATAATAATTTTCGTGATTGATTAAGTCAAAAACTCATACTTTGCCCCGACACTAAGCAATATTTTAGACTTTATCTTGTTCTATTGATATAGTTATTTACCTGCAAACAAACGGTTTGATGCCCAAGTGTCGTCGTATATGAGCTTGGAGCGACGCATTCGAAGTGAATGATGTGCCACAAGTTTCACAAGTGTGTCTGTAACAAAGAATTGATATACAGTAAAAGCTCCTTATACACGCTTCCTTTATTCGCGTTTTCACTATTCGCGGATAAAAAAATTGCGACCTAATTCCTATATACGCTTCTAAAAATATTGTTATTCGCGGATCTAATCTAAATAAAAAGGATTCGGTACCATTTGTTAACGCGTCGGCAGATGGAATAATTATAAAGGTATATTGATCTTATTTTAACTAAGCCTAAAGTACATTGTTAAATACTTTCGCCTGTGCATGAGACGGCTCGCCTTTTCCTTTGATATGAACCGCCATCGCCGCGGTCGGTGCTTTCGAGAATGTAAACAATCTATATGATGTTTATGTAAAACAATCTTCTTAATCTATTCTTAAAGTAGTTTTATTGTTAAATGCTTCCACATAATATATGTATAGACATCCGCCATGTCATCTTTGCGTGGTTTATTGTTTTCTCTTTTTATTCATTACAAAAATTGTGATCGAGTAAAGCGTCTCTTCCGCTGTCTTCCTAATTTTTAATGTCGACAAAAAGAAAAACTAGTTCTAACGAAAAATAAAATTAGTGATACCGCTTAAAGTAAAAGTTCTTTAAAACCCTGCCGAAGCCTGACAATAAGACGCTTTGCAGACGGCGGGGCGGAGCGGGCCGGTCAATTTCGCCGCGAACGATAGCACAAAGTGAATCCTATATTACAAACGCACACAGAGGGCAAAAAGACCGCGCCGCAGCTGCCCGGCGGGCACTGGCGGCGCGGCATGTCCGCGGCTGCCCGCCGTGGATCATACAAACCAGTTTATATGCAGTAACGCAGACGGCGGCGCGGGGCGGCTAGCTCAGCCCGCGCCACGCGCTTTTTAGTGATGGACTATACACTAGAACGAACGTCCTGAACTGACTGCCTCTGCCCGTCGTGTGATTTGTGTACGCGGCGAGGGCAGCCGCAGACATCGACGGGCAGACGTGGTTTTTATTGCTTCGCGGACAAAAAACCCGCCCCGCCCCGTCGTCTGCAAAGCGCCTAATTATGAATCAATATTGTGTAGAACTTCATTTAAACTGATATATTAAACATATTGTTTTTATTATTTTGCCACCAAGGAATGTAACTCCTATAATCCCATTTAAATTACCACTCCATATTCACGGTTTCTCTATTCGCGGCATATTTCTGGAAAGTATACCCCGCGAATATGGAGCTTTTACTGTAAATCTCAATAGATCTATGTATTTGATTCATAACTAGCCAGTGTCTATAATTTTGGTGAGAAATAAACATTCGTTAGTATTATAAATGCGAGAGTGAATTTGTTACGCATTCAAACCAGTCATTTATGCTGAATTCAGGTAAAGAAGGTGATGGGGCACTGGAGAAAATAATGATAGGCTATTTTTGTCATGAAAATAAAACTTTAAGAAGGCAAAATGGGGGATGAAATTTTGGCCCAGACGAAGTCGCGGTCTCCCAACAATTAAAGATATATAATGTGTAAATTTCTGATTGCATTAGAGAGATTGAATAAGACTTACGTTTTTTCATAGTTGTACTTCTTTTTCTGCTTTTGTTTTTTCTTAGGCTTTGGATTGAGAATGTGATCAGGAATGGGTTCAGAGAATGCCAAGATGGTTTCCTTGAGCAGTACATCCTCACCTTCTTCCTGTTTGGGCTTAATTTTGAGTGTAGGCTCCGGGTTTTTGCGTGGCCGACCACGCTTCTTTTGCGGCACATTCTGAAATTGTTAGGAAATTAAGATATAAGCTTAAAAAATAACTAAGAGAACCTTATGAAGTTAAAAAAAAAGAATTAGACAAAACGTTTCGTTCCTAAATCTATGTGAAATTTTAAGATTTCCTGGGGTGCTGTGGTCCAAATGTTTTGCTCTTGATATTGTATTTTATGCTACTGTCATTTTAAACTATGAAAGACAATAATGGCTCACTTACATTTAGTCGTTAGCCCGTATTCGGGTGCACGACAGACATTACTCGAATTCGGGAACCCGAAACAATATTTACACTGGAATACGGGCTGGAAGACAGTGTCGGGTAACCAAAACGAGAACTACCCGAATACGGGCGTACTCGACTCCGTTCATTTACACTTAAGTCGTTTCCCCAAATTCCATTGGCACTCGTATTCGGGCTAACGACCAAGTGTAATCGCGCCATAATAATTTTGATCAAAGTAGATTTTTAAATACCTTTTCTACCTTCTCTATAGTCTCATTATCAGAGACATTGTCTTCTTCAGCAGTAGGATTGAAGTCTGGATCATCTACACCTCCACAATCTGAAGTTAAAAAATAAATTCAAATAAATATTTTACTGAAGTCAATTAGTCATATCACATCTTGGTGTGAACAGGGCTTTACATTGATTTATATTTCATAAGCAATAACTGCAAGATTACTAAAGAAAAGCATCTATAATGCTATTTCAATATGCTACATGAATAAGACAGTATTCACAAACCATCATCCTCATCAATGGGATCATCGAGCGGTTCCTGCTTTAATTCCAAAGATCCGGAGGCGAGCAGAGTGGTTAGAGCTTCTGGCTCTTTCTCAGATTCTTTAGGTTTTTTCCTCTGATATGGTGACACATCTAAAATAATAATAAAATGTATATATAAAAAATATATGTGGACGTAGGAGGTATTGTTGAGCTGTTGTTTCACAGCACTTGACTGGTGAACGCTCTGCTCTGCTGAACAAAGACAAACATGGCTGGCCCAGTGTCCATTAAACCAATGGCCTTAAACTACTACAAAAATATATTAAGTAACGCAGAATCGCTGTTTGTTGAATATTATGCTAGCCAATAATACATTACTTTAGACGCTGTGCATACATTTACACCATATGTTACAGATACGGCAAACCACTCGCGCTCGGACGCAGTTGCCCCTTTGCAACTCCTGGGTGTCGATTCTGCTGAGCTAATGTAAAATTCGTGGCTCAATAGTGATTCCATAGTACTGCTTTTTGACACAGTTCTTGTTACTAAGAACGAGGCAGCGCTGCACAGTGTTTTATTTAGCCTGAGTTGTGGCCATGCTTTTTTGTGTTTTCAAAGGATAGCCTGGGTTAAACAAAAGCTCTTAGTAGAACTCCCATTAATTCACGATAGGTAAATACTATTACTATTAGTGATGTAATGAAAATTCACAACTGTCTTTGCACATTCGCAATCACATTACCATTCGCAAAGTTCAAGTAAATGATTTGCAAAATTTTAACAGCAGAAAGACATAAATTGAAGTTACTGTCAGGTTAGTAAAAAATCCATTTATTTCCTTTGTTGTAGTGAAAACTTCTTTAGCGGCGTTGTACACTTTTTTGTACGGATTTTTTATCCGTAAACTCGCGTCAGGTTAAACACGTGGGCTGATCGCATCATGACACACAATAAAATTGGAAAGGTTGTTGACTTACAATATATTGGACGAAACATAGTAATATTTTATTTTATCGTATTATAATAATAAGTCTCTATCTAGGACGGCCACGTTGCAGCTTTATTGCGAAGAAAATGCATTTTTTACAATAGATGTCGCTAGGTGCGCTTAAATGTGATTCATGTAAGTTGATTTCTTTATAATAGATGTCGCTAAGTGCGCTTAAACGTGATTCATGTAATTTGATTTTTCTGAGAGATAAACTTTTTTAATGTAATATAAATTGTCATGTTTGTGTATGGTAGCGCAATAAATAAATATTGTATTCTACCACATACATGATAGTCTTTTATACTGATAATTAAAGCAATTCGTGAAAAATTATTCCCTAACCATTTCAAAATATCAAAAATGCACAATGTTAATATTCAAGTTTTCACTTCTGCCGGCACTCCCGGATTGCAACCCGGAACTCGAGTGGCGTAGGTATGGGTTGCTTGGTAAGGTTACCAAGCAACCCATACCTACGCCACTCGAGTTCGCGCGGCACCCGGCATCCAGTAGCGAATGCGCCGCAGCGACGACCGAACGGTGTGACTTGTTTTTAAGCAGTTAGCCGTGCTTAAACGTGCGATTTGTATTGTAAATATTTGATTGAATTAAGTAACTACCTACATTATTTTGGTATATGTAGAAAAAATGGAGGAAATATTCCAGACATCATTTAAAAAAACATATGAATTGTAAAGTAGCTGCAGGTATATATAACCAAGTTAAAAATATTCACTTTTCTGCTCCTTGCCAAAGTATTTTTAATTAAACTTTTTATACGAATGCGTATTTATTATACTATTAAATTTAATAGTCTTCGTAGTTCGTACGTGTCAGTCGAGGCGTAAATATTTTTCTTTCTCAAATCGAATATTGAACACTTCCTAATTCATTCACAATTTTTTTTTTACATATAAAATAAAATATTTACGTTCATAAAACTAGAAAGAAACTCAATTATGTAGATGAAATTAAAGTAGGCGGGTAGTCCTACCGCGTGTTTACGTCCCGCTCGGCCGGGGCAAGCAAGGCAGTTATTTCAAGGACAGGGCCGAGTCACAATACTGTATAGATAATATTACCGTGCTATTAGTTTGTCAAATTAAATGTAATTTATAACAAAATTAAATAAGCTACTATAATAAATTGTAGATTTATCATCGGAACTTCGGGCGCTACAAGGGTGACTATCAGACAGCAGGTACCTTAGCGAGTCCTTGGTAAGCCTTACCGGCACTAGGCTCAACTCACACTGGCGCAGTCAAAGCGACGCGACGCGTTTCGACAGTAGCAAATATTTCTCTATTTTCCCACTTTTGAGATATTCCTAATTATTAGACACTTGCGTTTCATGTTTTTGTCTGTAGCAAATTCATTTCTATCTTCCCACTGTTAAGGTATTCATAACAAGTTTCATGTTTTTTGTCTATTGCAAATTCATCTCTAACTTCCCACTGTTATACTGTTAGGTATTCTCAAGGCGTACAACGACACGACGCTTCGACTCTGCGCCAATGTGTTGAGCCAAGGTTCCTAGCTCATTAACTTAAATTTAGCTTTTGTCTGTAACTGGATTCGTCACAGCAACAACCATGATTAGTCTGTAGGTTCCTATTGTTAAATTTCACACTTTTTACCTTTTCATGATAGCTATTAATTTATCGTTTTTCTCCCATACTTATAGAGACACACAAAAAAACCATATCTTTTTCAGGCATTATTTCTCCAGATCTACATTGGATAATAAACATATAGATTTATACTTAATAACAATTAACTTATCATTAGAACATAGGGTCACTTGCACCAAAGTTCTTAAAGGACATTGGGCAAAAAGGTATGGACGCTGCACCCACGTCTGCCACGGCTTAAACTACATTTGTTTGTAAGGTATTATAGTCATGATCATGTGTACCAAAGCGCATCAAATTCCATCCAGGGAGTCTTTAGTTATCTTAATTTAAATAGGTACAAGTACTATAACGAATGAACATTAATGAAACAAGGGAATTAATTTAGTTAGTTCAACACTACATAGGGGGCTCAGGTATTATGGGAGTACTTCACAAGGTTCAAGGGTGCCCACTTATGTTATTCTGCCGCGCTAGAGTAAATTCAAAAATCCCCGCATGGGTTGGGCTTTTTTCGAATATTCTATTCGTTTTAGTAAATTGTCTTCTTTGTAAAACGGGGTGACCAAAAATCACCTAAACTTGTCCACGCTTTGGAGAAAACATGATTCCAGTTCATCCATACTAATTGACAAAACCGATAATTGTGTTCCAATGTCCAAAGCGTGTTAGATAAAAATCAATCAAGTGACTGGGAGCACACAATCACAACGAAGTAATACGAGTCGACTATTTGCAACTGCAAGTCCTTCAACCCCGTAAACCATTTTGAGGTGTCTCAGTAAGTGCAAGCGCAGGATGGATCGGCAGGCTTTGTCGTATGTCTGGTTGTATAGTACGATATGGCATATTATTATGGTTACTAATAAAATAAAATAAAAGTACTGTAAAATGAATTTATTTAGCTACTTCAATATGCTACTTCTTTTGACTCCCAGGATATTTTTTTACGGTGTCATAATAAAAAAGGCTAGTTTTTCATAGATCTATCGATTCATACTAATAACATTGTTGGCGGAGCTGGGTGTGTTTTGCCCATTGTCCTTTTATTTAAAAAACTAATCATTTTTAAGCCTAATTCTATTTTTATTTCACATTAATGCAGTCAATTGTCAGAGATGGAATGATGTATTAAACATGATAAAGCCTTAATTTGTATTAAAAACTTAGGTGCTAATGGGCCTTAACCTCGTAACGCCCAACTTCATTTAGTGCTAATCATATCTTATAACCCAAGGTCCTTTTTTAAATCCTAAATTTTTATTGTCGTTCAGACCCAAACTTTGCCAAATATATTAAGGTGCTTAGGGTTGTGCAATTTTTTTTTTTTTTGTGTTTATCTGCAATCAGTAATTTACATAAGCAGATGTCATGAAAGTTGCTGTCGTGTCGAGCGTATCCTCCATTGAGGATATCTTCTCGTATTAATTATATGCTGGAAAAAAACTTATGGTAATATGTCCCTTCTCTTCAAACGTTTCACATATTCACGAGTAGTGAGTCTGGTTGCAAGTGTATTTGGGTGATTTTCGAGCCGGTTTCGATATTTATTTGTGGCAGACTGGATTTCTTCTACCACAGTGGTCATGCTTAGATTTTCATGGATCTCGGAATTGGTGATAAACCATGGCACATTTGCTATTTTTCTGAGGACTATATTTTGCATCCTCTGAAGTATATTAATGTTAGATTTGCTTGCACTCCCCCAAAGTTCGATTCCATATGTCCAGGATGGTTTTAGTATTGATTTGTATATTAGGAGTTTGTTGTCCATTGATAATTTGCTGTTCCGGCCTAGCATCCAGTAGATGTTCTTATGTTTTAAGTTTAGCTCCTCTCTTTTCTTTATGATGTGTTCATTCCAGGTAAGTCGACGGTCCAGGTGTAGTCCAAGATATCTTACGCTATCTTGTTGTGGCAGTGTAATATTCTCCAGTCTGACGGATGGGCAGTTTTCTCGTCGGAGTGTAAATGTAACATGCACCGATTTTGTTGCACTGGCTTTAATTTTCGATTTTTGGAGCCATTTTGTGATGTCGTTAAGTCCCTTTTGGAGATTTGCCGAAGCCTCGTGAGGATTGCTACTACTAGCCAATATAGCTGTATCATCGGCATACGTTGCTGTCATGATTCCATCCACTTGAGGTAGGTCTGATGTATAAATCATGTAAAAGACCGGTCCCAGCACAGAGCCCTGAGGAACACCTGCTTTAATCTCGTAAAACTTAGACGTTGAATCTGATTCTTTCACTTGGAAGATTCTATCTCTGAGATAGGAATCCAGAAGTGGGAAGCAACCATGAGGAAGATATGTTTTTAGCTTGCTCAGAAGACCCGCATGCCAGACCCTATCAAAAGCCTGTTCAATATCCAAAAATGCCGATGAGCAATATTCTTTTTCCTCTAGGGTCTTTCTTATTTTTTCCACTACTCTATGGACCTGTTCAATAGTAGAGTGTTGCTTTCTAAATCCAAATTGATGGTCTGGTATTGCTTTGCTATTTTCTAACTCGGGCATTATTCTG